AGGAGGCTACTTCCCACCGCCCCGTTCCCAGCGGGCTGGGGCCAATTCAGTCGTCTTTAAAGCCAAACAACGGCTTTTCGGGGCTCGGCACGTGAAGATGAGAGCCTCGCTATTGTTTGCCTTCTGTTTCTCACTTTGCCATGACCTCCCCGAGTTAAACTTTGCAGTTATCGGCGGTAGCTCACAAATGTGAATCTCAGGAAATTACTCGTAAAACTCCCGAAGCCTTTGTTCAAATAAAGATCCCATTGCAGCGACATGCTCCAGCTAACGTGTGAGCGAAAGCTGAATTCAAATCACCCCACTCTGTTTTCTCCAAGTTAAATTGTTTTTAAATGATAGGTGTTGAAGCCGACTTTACCGAAGGCAATTACGAACTTTGCAGTAGTTATAAAAACACAGTTCATCAACACACAGCGGAGTGTTTTATTTCTCTCCCTCGCAGATAAGCTTGGATTAGTTGTCGCATGAATATCTAAGACAAGTGTGTAAACTGTGCGTGTTTGAGGCTGTGTGAGATCATCTAAAGAAGCATTAAGTGTTCTCTGGAAGAGGGAAGCTAGTTTGTTATTGTCCTCTCCAAATAGGGCGATTCTACCTCCTTTGTCAAAAACCAACATAAAATAAGACTCAAATCTCAAAATCTAAACAAAAGAAGCTATGCAATGTCAGAATAATTTTAACTATAAATTATTAATAAATCGTTAATAATTGCTTACCAAGCATCCATCTTTAACTGGTTGACTGTGAGAAAGGGCATTTGTGACACATCTCAGTTAGGACTAAGCTGCTCTGAAAGACCTGAGAAATGCTGTGCTCGAGCAAAGCCTTCACTGGTAAGCAATGTGTTAAGCATATAATCTGAATTTTTCTGATCCTGTTTTCCGAGAAATGATGCAAGCTTTGGGAGGGTTTTACTCCAAACTGAAGCTTCCATTTTGGAATGGCATATCAGGCAGTCAGGGGTCATATCAGACCTCATCAGTGGTCAGGCGGTTGGACTAGATGATTGTTGTAGGTCCCTTCCAACTGAAATATTCTATATCTCTTCCTAACAGTGTCATCTCTTCATAAGAGAGATAACAGTGTTCTCTCTCCATGTCCCCTCACTGTCCCCATCGCAGGTTCTGCAAAAAGCGCAGGAAGCTCTGTAGAAGACAATTCAGTAAGAATTAGCTCACAAAGGAAGTTTCCCCCCATAATCCTTTCAGTAAGCATGCAGGTTTTGCCTTGGCACATTGAGATGATTATTCTTTATTTGTTCCTTGTTTTCATCATCCTGTAAATATGAAAGCAAGGTATTCATAGCTGAACTTTGTGATCTTTTATTATACACAAGAGAGATTATTGAACTTGGTTTATTTTTCCCTTAATGTTTGTTTGCTTGTGTTTTCAACTTGCTGCTCTCCAGTTTCATTAACTAGTTGCATACCATGTTGGGAAAAAACCCCAACTAGTTATCCGAAGAAGTTTATGCAGTAAAACTGCAATCTCTGCTTGCTCTGGGTATTGAAGATACCTGCCTTCAGTAAGTCTGAGTCGCTTTTAGAGTGGAACAATTGAATAGTTAATTAAAAAGTTTAAAACTTTTTTAAAACACTTTTCTTCAGTAATCTGATGTGAGAAGACTTTTTTCTTCTGTTAGGATGTGACATTGACTCATTAAGAATAAATAAATAAGGTGAATGCAGACTCAGTGGCTCTGGAAGCTGTCCTTGCTGCTGATTTTGTAACACCTCGAACTACATAAGGAATGTCCAAGACAAGTAAATGTCAAGCCTCCTTTCAGCAAGCCTTGGCAGCCTAATCAGGACAAATAAATAGGACAAGCAGAGTTGAGGGGGCAGCAGAAAAGCCAGTAAAAGCACATACTCCCAGTGGTTCAGAAGGCAGTAGTTTCTTTCCCAGTATGAATGTGAGCATGAACTCACTCCTTGCAAATGTCCTGGCCCAAGAGTATTTCCATGAGAGGCATAAGTAAGATGATAACAGTGCCTTAGCGAAGAAGGGATGAAACAGTATTCCCTGAACGGAACGGCGGGAGGGGAGCACAGAAGAGACAGTGAAATGAGGAATGACGAAGGGAAGTGAAAAGCAGTGTGTTTTACAAGGGTCTTGCATCCCCTTAGGTCTGTGGAGCGAGCTGGATTTATCCTCTTTCCTAAGCAGTTTTCTCAAGCAGACAGCCTTAAGCTGATTGACTTTATTCCACAGGAATTCAGTACCCTCAACAGGACCCCAAGGAAATGCAAATTTAGGATTTCCCCTGAGATTGCAGGGAAGCCTCGTGGATCTGTATCCTTCTTGAACTGGTTTGCTAGTGGTTATTTTTGCCTTTAAGGAAAACTACAGTTTTTAAAAGCACTGTGTCTCAAAAACTGATGGCCAACTTTTGGAGCCCTCTGAGCTACGTGAATTTCCAAGATAGCAAATCTAAACTAATCCTGGTCTTATCAAGGTGTGTCCACTCTTCGGCCAGCATTTATGCTAAATCTTTTGTCGGGGGTGATTAGAAAGTGGGTGTGAAAGATCAGAAGATAGAAATACTTCAGGCACGTTAATTGCCAGCCTCTGCTTTGATACCATGTATTGCAGCAGGGGACTTCTGTAAGAATGGACCTGTACTATGTATAATTTAGCAGCCTGCATACATACTGCTAGGAGTACTGTAAGAGAAAAGCAGCTAGCTCCCACTGCTACCTGCAAGTTCTGCGGATGGTATTTTTGAGGCAGCAAGGGATAACAAACCACCCCCCAGCCATTCCCAAGGCCTGATCACTCAAAAGTTTGATTTATCCTTTTCTTTTTCGCTATCCATCAACCGTAGATAGTTCTGGCACCCAAAACATGGCTGAGGACAGAAAGAATCCTTCATGGCAGAAATTGCTGGTAAAAGGTGGTGTGCAGCAGGTGGGACTGAACCTGTCCAAAACAACAGTCACCTGCAAACATAGGTAAGAAAATACATGTGCATCTTTTCAGTGCTTCTAGGAAACTCTGGAAATGTTTCTTCCTCAGTGAGTAAAAAGTTTGTTAGAAATATTTTATCATTGTGTGGTTTACCTGTGTTGCGGTCATTCCTCACTGGCCTCTGTTTCTCGCCCAGGTGTGCTGTGTGGCCAGCGCTCTGGCAGAAATGGAAACAACGCCCCTGCCTTTAATGGAAGTGAGCTCAGTTATACTAGCAGTGGATTTGTCTGTATGATAGAAAAAAAGGCTGCTTCAAACGCTACATGGTTTAGGAGTCATGGAGACTCATTTTAATGTAATGTCTAGATTACAACAATACCACAGTATTCACAGTGCCACTAATCACTCCCAGTCTTGTGGACACCTGTAATTGCTGGCTGTCTCTTCTCAGCAGAACTTATGAATGAGAGAATTTGAACTGAAAAGACCAGAAGCTGTTATAATAATTAAAGAAATTATGTCTTTCAAGGCTTTTGTTGGAATAGCAATGACTCTTGTCTTCTCATTGCTTCCCAATTTCACAGGCTAAATGCTGTCATAACATTTAGAGAAGGTTTGAGATGAACACTGCAAATAAAATGATAAAGGGGCTGGGATAAGACAACCAGCTAGTACAAAGTGACAGCTGTGAAGAGCTGTACGCCATCCAACCGCACACACCAGCTACTGCGAAAAACGCATCTGTAACTCAGTGTCTGGGCATCTCGTTCACATCTCCCTTCTTTCAACTCCCTGGCCTGCAACCACAGGAGCTTTCCTGGAGAGCTGTGCTCTGGGCCAAGTGCATGAGCACTTGCAGGATATAGGTCAGTTAATTAACCTGTAAGTTGCTCTGTGTTTTCCTGGTGGCAGCCTCCACCAAACCTACCCTAGAGCTATAGGCAGACAAAGAGAGATAGACAACAGTGCCTTAACTCCAAGCCTGCACTGGCGGCCATCTAAAGGACATGAAAAATGTCCCATTCGTGTCTTCTGCAAAGCCATATCCACTGCTGGGAACACGGACCGTGTTATGCTCCTGTTTATCAGATGAGCTGTCTGGAGATGGTCTGAGGACCACCATTCCCTTCCCATCCCCAAATCTTTTTTTGTCAGCTGGTTGTCATTACCCAGTTGTCTTCTTCAGCTTGGTGGTATTGTCTTGCTCACTTCATTGTTACCTGACAAATTTATACTCTGATTGTATTTTCTTCTCTTGTAAATTCTTTAAGATTACTTCTGATGACAAAATGCTTCTTTATATGTTAAAGTCTGAGTATGAGATATTAGGGGGTTAATCTCCTCAGAACAGGACAGCGTGGCTTCCATTCACAGCGATACATACCTTATCTAGGCAGACCCCCCCAAAATTAGATGTAAATGTATGAGTAAAATAACAAGAACATCAGTTCTGCAGCCCAGTCCAATAGACTTTGGATGAAATTGTCCAATAAATCCACAAGTTTTTGGGAGGGAAAGGGCTGACAGATGTAGGAATGGACAAGCAAACCAACCGATTGCATAGGCCTCCTTTCATTTGTAAACCATGCTCGAGATAAATAATCTTCCCACTTATAATGGTGCAAATGACTCTGCAACAGCAATGACACAAAGTGCTGTGTTGTGGTAAATAACAGTATACTGCCATCACTTACTGCAGGTGCAATATAAAATCTAGCTGATTAACTAGGTAATTGGCTTTCAGACCGTTGTCAGCGAATCTGATATTGCAATGTTTCATCTTATTTTTAATTATTTTTTTTTAATATCTTCAGCATTTTCTCAATTCTTTGAAAGGATATCACATGCTTTTCTCTCTCTGCCTCTTTGCAT